CATAAGTTTTCCAATCCCAACTCATCAATTTGAGGCAAAAAGAAGTTGTTGATCATAGCTTTGTAACGCTCATCATTCACAGTAACCTTTGGCCCTTGACGTCTTCGAAGAAAAACATTTTGTTGTTGCAAAATGGTCAGGCTTATCCCTTTATTGTTGTTTTTATAAAAACAACGTTTGTTTATTAGTGGAGAACGATGGTAATGTTTACCAGGGGGTAAGGCAGGGAATACCTAGGTTTCGGAAAGAGCCACCAATCCTCATCAGTTCCCTTGTTTTTGTCTGGGATATTCTCCCCAGAAGTTATTTTAAAAATAACTTCTATGACAAAAAACATTTTTTACCCAAGTGACGAGATCGTAAGCTCAATAGAAGAGGAACCAAAGAATTATATAAAACTAAAATTCTTTTGGAAAGTCTTCTAAATCTTACAACCGCACTTATAAACATTTTCATCTTTCTCCACTTGTTATGCTTTCGTTCAACCTGAACGAAGTAGCATGACCATTTTGCAACAACAAAATACTACGGTATCCCGAACAAACAAGCCACACTGTTCGAAAAACATTTTCGATGACTCCTCCAGCGAAAACAACATACCACACAGTGAGTTTGAACGGGTGTAGTGGCTCTTAGTGCCCCAGAAGCGTAAGTTTTGATTATATAACTACCCGCTAAAATGGAAATAGGCCTGATCACTCATCATTGTTTTTGATAAAAACTCATCTTTGCTTAAGGATGGCTTAAGCGTTTGTTAGACGCGATTAGCGGTCAGGAGCTAATAGCTGATGCACCATCTGGACTTTGTATGGACCCATCTTCAAATCTAGTACCAAAATTCACTGTAAAGACCGTCGACTGATACCCATATGCATGACACGTCGTCTGACGGCGCTTCCATGACATCCTTGGCCACAGTAGCAATATTCTCTGCGGATACTCCGGTGTCTGCCACGCCTAGCAGCATCTTTTGTAGTGTCAGCCTCTTCGAGGCGAGCGGCTAAACGTCGCATGGTTTCACCAGTAGGCATTGGACGGCCAGGAAATCTGCGACGACATTTACGTTGTACCGAAGTCACCGACCGATTATTGGTCAAATAAAATTCCGCGTTCTGGATCAGTTTAGAGTAATATTGTCTATTGACGTGTATTTCGCATGTGATTACTACAAAAATGTCAAAACCGAGCTGACATTAGGGACCAGTCGTAGTAGTACTTTATACCCTGTAATATGGCTGATGGAAAAATAAGTGTCATAGTCTGATTTTTTTCCCGCCAAAAATCTCCTTTACGTAGCTTTGCAGTTGCTATTTTTTTTAAATTATTCTTATTTTCAATTTTCAAAAGGAAAAACAAAATTATGTTTACTCTTAAGAAGGTCATGTGGCCTATTTATACTTCCATACATTCATTTTCGATTTTCCAAAAATGTTATTGCATCCTGCAATTCTCTCACGTGGAAAATGTCTATGGGTGATTTTCTTTACTAATGGAATTAATTACAATGAAATGGAAGAATTACAATTAAATGATATTTTAAACAAATAATGGAAAAACGTAAAAAGCAATTGAACTGAATTAATGACAATGGGCAATGTTACGAAAGTAGGCCATGAAAGTCAATGATACAAAATAAAAACTGCAGTTGTTTTCAGTCAAATGAAGTGGAATCATCATCACTTCTTTGCGGGTCGTAATGACATAAACACTAGAAATGAAGCCTTATCATGCTTCAATATACTCTTCATTATGCGAAAATGGCTGTGGTCCTTTTCTTAACACTGGGAAGATTGTATACTGGTCTCTGACCTATCTTTCTTTACCCCGGATGATTCTATCAATAGATACTAAAGATAAATATGGAGATACTTTTAACAAACCAAATACCATATTTTTCACTTATATACACGTTTACGTTCATTTTACGAACATCGTAAAAGTTGCTGAGTGCATGGTGTGTCGGAAGTAGTAACTACAGGGTGAGATGAAAAAACTGCAACCAACTTCAGACAGCTGTCATTTCGGAGCCACTCGTCCGACAGTGATAGCTAATTATATTGTTTACAAGTGTACAAAAGCATTTTGGTGAGAATTTTCCAGAAAAAAAAGTTATTCGTGATGGATTTCAAGCGTGATAGTGTGATTTCTTTATATTATCACAAGTGGCTATCGTTAGAGCACTCCAGCATTTAACTGTGAATAAATCTCTTGTGTCTCATACCATCGCTCGTTACCGTGATACTGGTAGCGTAGCCCGACATCAAGGACGTGGACGGAAGAAAACAGCAACATCAGCTGAAATGGTTCGAAAAGTAATGAAGCGACTTGATCTAAAGACGCAGTGGCCGAAAATGGCTCGTGAGCTGAACATATTGCAATGTTCCATTCGAAAAATATTGAAAAATGAGCTCGGGGTAAAGCCATTGAAATTCCAAGAAACGGAAAGAAAATAGATTCAAAAGAGCTAAAGAGTTGCTTCGCTTAACCGAAAGTGATGAACGGCCGAATTTGGTTTTCGGTTTGTAAACAAAACAAAATGGTGTAGGCCGCCATAATAGCCGATGGTCGCTCTCCGCTCGTATTAATCGACCGTGGCATCAGAATAAATGTCGAATGTTATACCGAAAATATTTTGGAGGGTGTATTAAAGCCTTGGGCACCCTTGGACATTCCAACAGACTCATCACCATCGCACTCAGCACGCGCCACCCAAGAATGGATGCAAAATGAGGTTCCTCGCTTCATTTCCAGCGCACAATAGCCATCAAAATATCCGGATACCAATCCGTTGGACTATTGTGTCGGGAGTATTTTGGAAAGCAAGGTTGGCAATAAAAAAAAAACCAAAGTGTCGATCACCTCAAGCAAGTGCTTCGCCGGGAATGGGCCAAAATACCGTGTAACGGTTTCATTGGCTGTTTGAAGGCCATAATTCGTGCCAAAGATGACCAATTCGAACAAATCTAAACTTATTCTAAAATTTGATAAAATTTGATCGGAAACGATCTCCATAAACTTTGGCAAAGATATTTCTGAGCTGTATTTGATATATTTCCTTGAATATCGTTGTTACGGACTGCATATTACGGCTGTGATTAACAAATATAACAAATCGGATGAACAGTATATATTGGAGCTATAGCTATATCTGAACCAATCTTCACCAAATTTGACATACTAGCTTCTAGACTCAATTCGGTCGTAAGTGCCAAATTTCATCCAATTTGGGCAAATATTAGACGTTTGGTGCACAATAAATGGTAAATCGGACGAAGTTATATATGGGAGCTATATCCAAATCTGGACCGAACTCGATAAAATTTAGAAAATGTATTTCTAACATGTATTTGATATATTTCCCCAAATATTGTTGTTACAGAGTGCATATTACGGCTGCGGAGGACAAAAATAACAAATCGGATGAACAATATATATGGGAGCTATAGCTATATCTGAACCGATTTCGATCAAATTTGGCACACCTGGACCTGAAAATAGGTCCAATCTGCAAAATTCCATACTATTCGTACTGATATTACACGTTTGGTGTACAATAAAAGGCAAATCGGACGAAGATATATATGGGAGCTATATCTAAAATTTGACCGATTATCTCCAATTTCAATAGGGTTCGTCCTTGGGCCAAACAAATGATTTGTGCAAAATTTCATCTGGATGGGGCAATAAATGCAAACTGTACTTTGTTTACAAAAATGCATGGACAGACGGACGGACACTCAGAGTGTGATTCTATGCAGATCAGCAAAAGGAACTATAGGTCTATCTCGTTTCCTTTTGCCTGTTACAAACAAATGCACAAAGACATAATACCCTGACCACCTTGTGGTGTAGGGTATAAAAATGTAAAAATTATGGCGTTTGGCTATGTTGTCTATGTTTTTTTGAACTCGATACTTTACGCAAATATGCTGACTACGACTCAAGTCTTAAAATAGAAGACTTCTCTTGATGTTTTTTCTTGCTATTCAATATTTGGAAGAGCTGTTACAAGTCTTCTTTAGATGTAAACACTTTCACACATCGTCTTTCACAGGTCTCCTATCGAAAGAAAACCTTGGGTAATTCTTTTTTAGGTAGAAGACTTATCACATGTTATTCCGTAAATGGAAATCTCTAGCAGTCCTTTTGTAAAAAAACCCATTAATTGGTTTTCTTTAAGTGGAAAACATTTATTAGACTTCTCATTTTTGGAGAGCTTTTAATGGTCATCTTGAGATAAAAAAGCTAAACCAGTGACGACTCTCTTTGATTGATTATTAAAATTAAACATCCTTTTCTAAATTGTATTACCACAATTGTTTGCATATCGTTTCCTTTTGCGAAATCGATTAAGTTAATCTTCATAGGTCCAGTATGTTAACACAAAACATTTTAAAACTAAACCATGGCAATTGTCACCTGCCGGGCCAATAAAACTAATTTTATTATATGTTCACACTTGTGACTTCGGATAGGAATCAAAAAACCCCATATAATTAGTTTAGAATGTGGCAATAAACGGCCAGCGACAATGGTCACCGAAAAGCGTTGGAAATAATACAAAAAACCGCAGAGACAAAAACGAAACAACAACACCTGCATCCCATTAGCGTTTCAACAACTACCACAATATCGAATTTTAACCGCAATATGTCAATCAGACAAAATTTTGTAGTGGTTGTCCCCCTTCCCTTCCTTAACTTTTCGTGCAAGCAGACATCGCATTTTTTTATTTCCTAGGATTTTCTACTCTCATGGATGTGACGACTGGCTTTCACTTTCAATTTGGATTTGGATTTGTGGTCAATGAATCTATAAAAACAATGTATGTCATTTGTTGTTGTTGTTGTTGTTGTTGTTGTTGAATTTTTCATTATATCCTTCCTTGAACTCTTCACACGCAAAATTGAAAATTCAACACACAAAACAAAAACAAGGATTTCATCGATATTTCACCATTTCAGTGCTGTGATAGTCAATTCAGTCGCATTCGAACCTCTCAAGACGTTACAATGAAATTCGGAATATTCGCCGGTTGTTATCTCGTGTGTGTAACTCTGTCCCTTGCCCAGGAATACAATGATTATTCCTCGTTCATCAGTGCAAATGCCACGCTGGCTGTTGTTGTCGACCAGGATTATATGCAACAACAAAATGTCAATATATTATCGCATTTTCAAAAGATTCTGAGCGATACGATACGTGAAAATCTCAAAAATGGTGGTCTAAATGTGAAATATTTTTCATGGAGTGGTATTCGTTTGAAAAAGGGTAAGTTTGAAAACCTATGGCGATGTTATAAGAGTGACTGTTCGGGAGAAAGAAGGACAATCTAAAAATAGCCCTTTTTATACCCTCCACCATACTATGGAGGGTATATTAATTTTGTCATTCCGTTTGTAACTCCTCGAAATACTCATGTCAGACCCAACAAAGTATATATATTCTTGATCAGCGTAAAATTCTAAGACGATTTAGCCATGTCCGTCTGTCTGTCTGTCTGTCCGTCTGTCTGTTGTAATCACGCTATCTATCGAACAAATTGAGATAGAAGGCTAAAATTTTGCACACATGTATATTTTGCCAGTAGGAGGTTAAGTTCGTAAATGGGCCATGTAGGCCCAAGTTATCATATAGCCCCCATATAACGGTACCTCCCGATATTCGGTATTTTGATGATTTTAGCGACATTATTCACCGGAATTGTTTCAAATTTGGTATTTGAAGTTCGTAATGGATACTACAGCCTAAGACAGAAAATTATCTGTGCAGGTCCACGTCTTCGTGTAGCCCCCATATAACGGTACCCCCCGATATTCGGTATTTTGATGATTTTAGCGACATTGTTTACCGAAATCGTTTCATATTTGGTATTTGAAGTTCGTAATTGATACTGCAGCATAAAACAGAAAATGGGCCATATAGGTCCACGTCTTCGTATATCCCCCATATAACGGTACCCCCCTTTATTCGGTATTTTGATGATTTTAGCGACATTATTCACCGGAATTGTTTCAAATTTGGTATTTGAAGTTCGTAATGGATACTACAGCCTAAGACAGAAAATTATCTGTGCAGGTCCACGTCTTCGTATAGCCCCCATATACCGTACCCCCGATATTCGGTATTTTGATGATTTTAGCGACATTATTTACCGGGATTGTTTCAAATTTTGCATGTGAAGTTCGTAATGGATACTTCAGCCCATGCCAGAAAATTGCCTGTGCAGGTCCACGTCTTCGTGTAGCCCCCATATAACGGCACTCCCCTAATTCGGTATTTTGATGATTTTAGCTACATTATAAACAGATTTTTCTTCAAGTTTTGTAATAACTTATGACAAAAGTTGGCTATGCAGGCCCACGTCGTCGTATAAGCAGAATTTTTAACGGATTTTATTTTTTGGAAATTACATATTACAGTTGATTTAGTTGGAAATTCGCGAGGCAAAACCTTTTTAAATAAACAAAAAATCTAGGCTATACCAAAAAGTCCTAGGAGTAAAACTGACTATAGAAAACCGACACCTCAAAAAAAAAAACGTAAATTAAAAGGTACCGTTATATAGGATCCACAACAGATAAGGTATAGGCTACTGGAAATTGAGATCAAAACCTCCAGTATGGAGGATATTCTTAAACGTAGAGCAATATTTTATATTTTCAATGTCAAATATCTTTGGAATAACATCAGTGCTTGTGCAAAATTTTAAAGCCTTACGTTAACGACTTTGAAAGTTCTTCGAAAAACATTGTGGAAATATTCTCGTTAATAACTCCGACAGTATCTGGAAATACATTGTTAAAAATACTCACGTAAATAACTCGCCTATAGAAGAATATTATTAAATATTCACGTTAATGGCTCTTAAAGTCCTAAACAATATTTAACAAGTTAAAAAGCAATAAGTTCGGCCGGGCCGAACTTTGAATACCCTCCACCATTTGGAACGAAATTGGAAATTTTCAAAAAATAAAGTCCTTAAAAAATTCTGTTACAATTTTAAAAATACCGAATATAGCCGTTATATTGGGGTCTATACGACGTGGACCTACATAGACCTTGTTTGTCATAAGCCATTACTATATTCAAATTCGAAATAATTTTCTGTCTCAGGCTATAGCATCCATTACGAACGTCAAATACGACACCTCAAAAAATGGGTATTGTACTAACCGAATATAGGGAGGTAGTGATATATGGGGCCTATACGCAGACCTGTACCTACATAGACAATTTTATGTCACAGACTGTAGTTTCCATTACGAACTCTAAATACGTAATTTGAAACAATTCCGTTAAACAATGACGCTAAAATCATCAAAATACAGAATTTTGGTAGGTACCGTTATATGGGGGCTATACGAAGACGTGGACCTGCACAGACAATTTTTTGGCATATGCTTAAATATCCATTACGAATCTAAAATACCAAATTCGCTAAAATCATCAAAATACCGAATATAGGGAGGTAGCGTTATATGGGGGCTACACGAAGTCGTGGACCTGCACAGACAATTTTCTGTCTTAGGCTGTAGTATCCATTTCGAACTTCAAATACCAAATTTGAAACAATTCCGGTGAATAATGTCGCTAAAATCATCAAAATACCGAATTTCGGGAGGTACCGTTATATGGGGGCTATATGATAACTTGGGCCTACATGGCCCATTTACGAACATAACCTGCCTACTGGCAAAATATACATGTGTACAAAATTTTAGCCTTCTATCTCAATTTGTTCGAAAGATAGCATGATTACAACAGACAGACAGACAGACGGACATGGCTAAATCGTCTTAGAATTTTACGCTGATCAAGAATATACTACTTTGTTGGGTCTGACATGAGTATTTCGAGGAGTTACAAACGGAATGACAAAATTAATATACCCTCCATAGTATGCTGGAGGGTATAAAAATTAGCTCGGGTTAAAGCCATTGAAATTCCAAAAAGTGCAAGAACTTACACCGCAGCAGAAAGAAATAGACTCAAAGAGCTAAAGAATTGCTTCGCTTGACCGTAATTGATGAACTGCCGAATTTGGTTTTCTCCGATGAGAAAACATTTGTTGTTCAGCAGTTTGTAAACAAACAAAATTATCGTGTTTACTTGCCAAAGGAGGTCAGCTGAAAATATGCACCTTCGGTTGGCCACCAGAACTCAAGCGCCGGCCATGGTGATGGTGTGGGCCGCCACAACTGCCGATGGTCGCTCGCCGCTCGTATGAATCGACCGTGGCATCAGAATAAATGCAGAATGTTATCGCGAAAATATTCTGAAGGGTGTATTAAAGCCTTGGGCACGTAAACATCTCGGTCGCAGACATTGGATATTTCAACAGGATTCAGCACCATCGCACTCAGCAAGAATGGTTACAAAATGAGGTTCCTCGCTTCATTTCCAGCGCACAATGGCCACCAAAATCTCCGGATACCAATCCGTTGGACTATTGTGTCTGGAGTATTTTGCAAAGCAAGGTTGGCATTAAAAAATACCAAAGTGGCGATCACCTCAAGCAAGCGCTTCGCCGGGAATGGGTCAAATATGACGGTTTCATTGGTCGTTTAGAGCCATAATTTATGGCAAAGGTGACCAATTCGAACAAATCTAAACTAATTCTAAAATTTTATTTGCTATTTCCGACATTTTTTGCTTTCATTCAAAAAAAATAAAAAAAAATGTAAAAGATATGGCGTTTGACATTGTTGCAGTTTTTGTTATTTCACCCTGCATGTGCCATTGGAGCCTAGACGATCTTCTGGAAAATCGTACAGTTTCGTGTACATTTCAGACTCATATCCTTATCTACTACCCTAATCAATCAGAGATCCTCATACGAAATTTAAAAACTGAATTTTTTTGCCAAGTTAAAATGGTAAAAAAGTTCATACAATTGTGACATAAATTTCTAAAATCTCTTCTCAACTACAAACCAACACATTGACGGTTTCAGCCCCAGGAAGATCAATGGATATTTCAACAGGACTTAGCACCATCGCACTCAGCAAGAATGGTTACAAAATTAGGTTCCTCGCTTCATTTCCAGCGCACAATGGCCACCAATATCTCTGAATACCATTCCGTCGGACTATTGTGTCTGGAGTTTTTTGGAAAGCAATGTTGGCACTAAAAAATACCAAAGTGGCGATCACCTCAAGCAAGCGCTTCGCCGGGAATGGGCCAAAATACAGCAGAGCAACATTCGGGCAGCGTGTGACGGTTTCATTGGTCATTTGAAGGCCATAATTCATGCCAAGGGTGATCAATTCGAACAAATCTAAACTTATTCTAAAATTTGATTTGCTATTTCCGATATTTTTTGCTTTCATTCACTAAAGTTAAAAAAAAATGTAAAAAATATAGCGTTTGACATTGTTGCAGTTATTGTTATTTCACCCTGCATGTGCCATTGGTGCCTAGACGGTCTTCTGGAAAATCGTACTGTTTCGTGTACATTTCAGACCCATATCCTTATCTACTACCCTAATTAATCAGATATCCTCATACGAAAATTAAAAATGTTATTTTTTTTTTTTGCCAACTTAAATTATAAATAAATTTCTAAAATCTCCGGCAACTTTACTGCTGGTACTTACAAATAACAATTCAATAATTGTTTTTAAAATTTCTCTTTTACAGATTTCTTAGCTGCTATGACCGTAATGGATTGTGAGAATACCATGAAATTTTTCAAATCCACCAGAGCGAATTCAGTACTCCTAATAGCTATAACAGATGCTGATTGTCCTCGATTACCGCTCGACCAGGCATTAATGGTAAACAAGGATTAAAATATTAAATGAGTAAAATAATGAATGTAAATATTTTCCTTCATAAGATACCACTGGTGGGGCGTGGTGAGGAATTTCCTCAAATGATATTGGATGCCAAGGTGCAGAATATATTACCATGGAAAACTGCTGTTGTGATCATGGATGAAAATCTGGTCAATGAAAATACCAAATTGGTCGAGTCCGTGGTTCATGAGAGTACCAAGAATAATGTTGTACCCATTTCTCTGTATTTGTATAGCATCAATGAACGTCTGCGTTCTCAGCGGAAACGTCAAGCAATTCGGGAAGCTCTCTTGCCATTTCAACGACACCCACGAGAATCGAATCAATTTATTGTGTTCTCTAAATTCTATGAGGACATAATAGAGACGGCCGATAATATGGATATGTATCATGTTAACAATCAATGGTTGTTTTTCGTTTTGGAAGAAAATACGGAAAATTTCGACGCAATGGCTGTGACGCAAAATTTAGCAGAAGGTGCCAACATAGCTTTTGTTCTCAACGAAACATTGCCCAGTTGTGAGGTAGTCATCGCTTTGTTTTATTATTTTTAATTTATGAATAATTAATTTTGCTTTCTTGCAGACTTCATTGAATTGCACCCTGCAAGAAATTTCCATGGCATTTGTCTTATCAATTTCAAAGTTGATTGCAGAAGAACAATCCATTTATGGTGAAATATCTGATGAAGAATGGGAAGCATTGCGTTACACGAAAAAGGAGAAACAGGATGATATTTTACAAACTATGAAGGAATATTTGAAAAATCACAGCCGATGTTCAACTTGTTCCAAATGGCGTCTAACTACAGCTCTGTCGTGGGGTAAATCCCAGGAGCACAACAAACCACGAAGAGGTATGTATATTAAAGAATGAAATTGAAATGGGAGCGTCCCCAATGACTTTTGATGCATGGATATGGAGATTCGACAAAAAAATACACAAACAAATAATTGGTTGGTGATACCTGTATGTGTTTTATGTGAGCATTATGCATATGTAGACGAAACCCAAAGACGGCTTTTCGATTTTTGTCTTTAGCAAAAAAAAAAAACAATTAAAAAACATTGAGTTTGGCCGGTCCAAACTTTTAATACCCTCCACCTTAAGGTAAAAGAAACATTAAAAGAAATGTGGCAAAAACCATTAAAATGCCGAATATCGGGAGGTACCGTTATCTGAGGGCTACACCAAAACGTGGACCTATAATTACAATGTTTGCTACACAAACTAGGACCCATTAGGACCCACAAATACAAATACATACATGCAATGTTTTGCCACACGCTCAGGGGCCCGTTATGACCTACAAATACCAATTTCCAGACAAATCCGTGAAAAATGTGGCATAAATCATCAAAATACCGAATATCGGGAGGTACCGTTATATGGTGACTATACCAGAACGTGGACCGATATATCTCATTTTCAATACCAACCATCCTAGACACAATGCAAATAGCTCTGCTAAATTTTGGCGCTCTACGTCAAATAATGTGGGCTGTATCGTGATTTCAACAGACAGACAGACAGACAGACAGACGGACAGACAGACAGACAGACAGACAGACGGACATCGTCAAATCGACTTAGAATTTTATGCTGATTATGAATATATATACTTTATGGGGTCTAAGACGAATATTTAAGGATGTTACCACCTTTCCAAGGTGGAGGGTATAAAAATCTATGCTTCGATTTTGTTTAATAGGCTTAAAATCATTAACGATTCTGACTTTTTAAGCCAAGGTAGTTTTTAAGCCAAAGTTGATTTTAAATTTAGATTTGTTTAGTTTTGCCAACAAATAATAGGTCGGGAAATTCCTTTTAAGGAGACTTATTCAAAATGTACCTATCTATTTCACATTGATTCCAGTACATGGCAAATAAAATGCACCCACACGAACGGGTGTAATGCTGTTGATGGTTGGCAAGTGGACAACTTCTTTTAATGCTGGCGAGCAGTAAAGCCTCAATAGATTTTGCTACTAAAACTACAAAAGCTTCAAGCAGGACTATCAACGCATTGAAATTTTGTTCAGACATTAATATTACCTATCGTATGTTTGGTGTTAAACATAAGACATATCGATCCATATCGGTATGACCATATAGAGTCATTTCCTGATTTTCGGTATTTTGAACGTTTTGACCACAATTTTGAACCAAATCATGTGTAACTTGACATTTAGAGTTCTGAGTAGGTCCAATCTCTTCACGCTAAAACTTTTCAAGTATGTTCCTGTATTTGGTATAGGCCCCATATTACATATCTTTATCTCTTTTTTATACCCTACACCACAAGGTGGTCAGGGTATTATGTCTTTGTGCATTTGTTTGTAACAGGCAAAAGGAAACGAGATAGACCCATAGTTCCTTTTGATGATCTGCATAGAATCACATTCTGAGTCGATTTATGCATGTCCGTCCGTCCGAATGCCCATGTATTTTTGTAAACAATGTGCAGTTCGCATTTATTGCCCTATCCAGATGAAAATCTGCACAAATCATTTGTTTGGCCCAAGGACGATAATCGGTCAAAATTTAGATATAGCTCCCATATATATCTTCGTCCGATTTGCCTTTTATTGTGCACCAAACGTGTAATATAAGTCCGAATAGTATGGAATTTTGATTGGACCTGAAAATAAGTATGCCAAATTTGATCGAAATCGGTTCAGATATAGCTATAGCTCCCATATATATTGTTCATCCGATTTGTTATTTTTGTCCTCCGCAGCCGTAATATGCACTCTGTAATAACAATATGTGGGGAAATATATCAAATACAGCTCAGAAATAAATTTGCTACATTTTATCGAGATCGGTTCAGAATTGGATATAGCTTCCATTTATAACTTCGTCCGATTTACCTTTGATTGTGCATCAAACGTCTAATATTTGCCCAAATGGGATGAGATTTGGCACTTACGACCGAATTGAGTCGAAGCTAGTAGAAGCTAGTATGTCAAATTTGGCGAAGATCGGTTCAGATATAGCTATAGCTCCCATATATACTGTTCATCCGATTTGTTATATTTGTTACCCACAGCCGTAATATGCACTCCGTAACAACGATATTTAGGGAATTATATCAAATACAGCTCAGAAATATCTTTGCCAAATTTTATCAAGATCGGTTCAGATTTGGATATAGCTCCCATATATATTTTTACCCGATTTCAAATTAATTTTGCACCAAATGGGCAGTACAAGTCCGAATTTAAAAGATACAAATGCTTCGGCATATTTATTCCTTTGAACTTTAAATTATAATTATAATCATAGCGTGTATGATTGAATTCTCCCATAAAAACTTTTAATTGTTATGCGGAGCTCTACTAAATTAGCAAAGTGGTGTAGGCTATCATAAAGTCGTCCCCGCCCGACTTTAAGACTTTCCTTACTGTTTTTTTTTTTTTTTGTATTTTGACGATTTCGACCGGAATTTAATATTCAATCATGAGTAACTTGACATTTTGAGTTCCCGGCTGACAGAATATCTCCCTGTGAAGATAGGTCTACTATAATATATTGACCATATAAAACGGCTGTCTGTATGTCCGTCTGTCTGTCTGTTGAAATCACGATACAGCCCAAATTATTTGACGTAGAGCGTCAAAATTTAGCAGAATAATTTGTATTGTGTCCAGGATGGTTGGTATTGAAAATGATATATCCGTCCACGTTTTGGTATAGTCCCCATATAACGATACCTTCCGAAAGAGAAGAGGAGAAGAGAAATCTTTTTAAAAAAGAAAAACAATCAAAGATCAAAGTGTATTCATCACAAAATCAGTTGACTATCTTCACCATTTTTTTTTTAAATAAAACAAAATCGGCTAAGGATACAAAAAATATTAAAGGAACTTCTCGATATTATTTTGTTTAACTGGATGTACTTTTCGGATATGGAAAAATACAGACATATTTTGAATTAATTTTTAAAATATTTTCACAGCAATGTTTTAAAACTTGTTTATTCTAAAACACTGATAACTACCGGTAGTCGATGTTTCCATTTTAAAATTATCACTTCAGATGAGAAAAAAATCTGAAATATTAAACTTCAAAAAACCGAAAACTTATGTTTTCCTTCTTGCGAATAAGTGAAACATTTTTCAAATTTAGCAATGTGTAATCAAAAAACGAAATAACTTATGACTTTGGAATTTTCGATATTGGTACAAGGCTTTGGATGACTTAGCGTGCCGGATTGCATTCGAAACATCACCCATCGTAAACTTAGAGAGAAGAGATCTTATACGACGTAGTACTCTTCGCTTCGCAACATCACTCCCGGGGTGCTCGATTAAAATTACAGCGCACATCTTCGGATCAGCCACAGTTAGGTCGTTAAATGCGACTCCTTTCCTCGGGTTCGTGAGTGACTTACCTGTTACCCACAGTTTACTTGTATCGGTTCCAATCTTGCTAGCCACTTTTTTCACTTGTGCTCCTGCACCAACCTGTTGACCTCCACTGCCAATTCTCACTCATTCGCATAGCCCCGCTGCATCTGCTGAAAAATTATGTCTTATTTCGGGTATTCGAGCAGCAGGTGTATAGCGAGCGGCTGCAGCTTTGACGATGTCCCGGAAAATACTTTCTGCTACCCCAACATTAGAAGGTTTGAGCAGTTCTCTGAAGCGAAGTTTGGTGAATTCTCTGAATTCTGACGAGTGAACTTTCCCATCGTTAAGGAAAATGCAGTGTTCAATGGTTATGATGCGGTGTTTCTCTCATTCGTTTGGTGGCATCCTCGTTTACCGTGCAAAATGTAAAGCAGTCATTATCCAGGACGGAATACCACAACTCGTGGTAGACATTGAAATTCCCTACTCGAAGTATCAAACTGTTACTAGTTCCACACTTGATTGCTACCCCCATACATTCCATGTAAGGGTCGCTAGAGACTACCTCATGCGAGGTAGGTCTGTAGGTCTGTGTTAAACTAAACCATTATGTGGAGGGTATATTAACTTTGTCATTCTGTTTGTAACTCTTCGAAATACTCATGGTAGACTCACTTTGCCCTGTAGACCAAGTTCGGAAATGGGCCATGTCGATTCACGTTTTCGTATATCCCCAATTTTAAGTATTTTGGTAATTTTACCGACATTTTTTACTGAATTGTTTCAAATTTCATATTTCTAGTTCGTTCGGACCGGTCAAACATAGCTGATTTTTTACTTGTTTTTTTATAAGATTTTTACATCAATATATAATTTCTGCTCCTTTTTGTTATGAACGTATATTGTAATACCTTAAATTTCCTGAGTAAAATTCATGTAGCCTGTGTCTTTGTTAGATAAATATAAATTTATATATAAAAATATAAATTGATATAATAATATAATAGAAAATTTGTATCGAATTTTTTATTATAACTCACAAAAAAACAAAAGGTGTAAAAAAGGGCAACGAAATCCCAAAAATACTCCATGTATATACTATACTACATATTATTATTTTAATTTTTCGAGGTCTTTCGGAAAATCGTAATAAATACTTTGAATTCGTCAATATTGGTTATTGGACTTCAGTGCTGGGATTTGTGACACATGAACTGGCATTTCCACACGTCAAACATAATTTTCGAAATATAACACTGGATATTATAACAATGCATGTGAGTAAAAGGCATTCTCAAACGCTGTGTGATTCCAATAAAATTTCTTCCAATTTCAATTAGCGACCACCATGGCAAATTTTGAAAAAAGACCAACGGGGTGAAATTATCCAACATTCGGGAATTGTTATGGAAATACTTAAGGAGTTATCACGTATGCTTAATTTTAGTTACATTCTGCATGATGCTTCATCGCTCGATGCCAATGAGGATATGGTAAATCTAAATGACACGGTATGTAAAAAATATACTACGTACATATCATTCGACGTATAAAGTTATTATTTATTATTATTATTTTTTTTTTATTTTTTATTTTTTCAGGATCAACTATTGGGTTCTTTAACGTACATTATACCCTATCAAGTTGCAGAAATGTTACAAGCTAATAAGGTTAGTAAACGTGTAAAATTAATGTGAAAAATACATATTAATTATACCCTCAGCCATATGGCTAATTATACCCTCTACCGATACCCTCCGTTTCAGGACATTTGGAGCCGTCTCTCTGGCTGGCTGGTGCGCACGATAACTCTCGAAGGGAGTATCCGATTTGGTCCAAACTTGATATATTGTAATATTTTGGTCAAACTAAGATGAGATTTGAGATGGGCAATATCGGTACACTCCTTCTGGTACCTCCCCCAAAATTTCAAAAAATTTATTTTCTGCACAGAAAGAGAAACGATAATCCAATGTCGGTCCACTCCATCAAGTACATCCCCCACAAAGGGTAAAATTTTTGAATAATAACTACTCTTGTGATGTAAGAGTCCGATTGTGTTCAAATTTCACACATCCCAATATTTGTATTAACCCAAGGTCTGGTATTAAGATGGAATATATCCGTCCTCTGCTTCTGGTACCGATTTTGCTCCAACCTTACAAATCCTAATATTTGCATCAGTGCTAGATCAGGTGTGAAAATGGAGTATGTCGGTCCACTCCATCAAGTACCTCCCCCACAAGAGGCGAACATTTTGAATAATTACAACTCTTATAAAATGTGATGTAATAGTCCGATTGTCTTCAAATTTAACATACCCCAATATTTTTTTTACCCAAGGTCTACGAAATGTACAATATTGGTCCATTCTTTCAGAACACACTCTATAGAGTCTGTCTGTCTGTCTGTCTGTTGAAATCACGATACAGCCCACATTATTTGACGTAGAGCGCCAAAATTTAGCAGAACTATTTGCATTGTGTCTAGGATGGTTGGTATTGAAAATGAGATATATCGGTCCACGTTCTGGTATAGTCCCCATATAACGGTACCTCCCGATATTCGGTATTTTGATGATTTATGCCACATTTTTTCATGGATTTGTCTGGAGATTGGTATTTGTAGGACATAACGGGTCCCTGAGCGTGTGGCAAAACATTGCATGTATAGGTCCACGTTGTGGTATAGCCCCCATATAAAGGTACCTCCCGATATTCGGTATTTTAGTTTTTTTTTGCCACATTTTTTCACGGATTTGTCTAAAAATTGGTATTTGTGGGTCATAATGGGTTCCAGCTCCGGTGGCGAAACATTGTAATTAAAGGTCCACGTTTTGGTATAGCCCCCATATAACGGTACCTCCCGATATTCGGTAATTTAATAGTTTTTGCCACATTTCTCTAATGTTTCTTTTACCCTAAGGTGGAGGGTATTAAAAGTTTGGCCTGGCCGAACTTAATGTTTTTTATTTGTTTTTAACTTGTTTTGAAAAAAATTTTCCGTATTTTTGAAAAGTTTTTCATAGCAGCTTTAGCGGCAACAGTCGATGATCCGGACAAGAAGCCTTTCAATTATACCATACCCATAAGCATACAAAAATACTCGTTCATCTCAAGAAGGCCTGACGAAGTTAGCCGTATATATTTATTCACCGCGCCATTCACGTTAGAGGCGAGTGCGTTTAAAAATTAAGAAAACCTCCTTTTTAATTCATAAATTTTAATTCTTGCAGACATGGGCCTCATTGGTGGGCGTAATAGTCATCACTTCGCCGGTACTCTTCATCATAAATCGTTTTGTACCAGTTGAGCATTTGAAAGTCAAAGGGTTTGCAACGATTAAAAACTGTTTCTGGTATATTTATGGTGCCCTCTTGCAACAGGGTGAGTTTGCGATCAAGCAGAGAGATTTTTTTCTTTGAAAAAAATTATTTGTTTTCAAACGTTTAGGTGGCATGTATTTACCCCAGGCGGATAGTGGACGTTTGGTAATTGGTTTTTGGTGGATTGTGGTAATTGTTATTGTCACCACATATTGCGGAAATTTGGTAGCGTTCCTGACATTTCCAAAATTCCAACCAGGCCTGGATTATTTCTTTCAACTTTACAATCACAAGGAATACGAACAGTTTGGTTTACGAAATGGAACATATTTTGAGAAATATGCAGCGGTACGTTTGCATTGTTTCAAGATTATATGTAACTAAATTCGATGTTTTTTCGCATCACACGACATTGGCTTTTGCCTAGATGAGACTTTAACTTTATAAGCTTTGAAAAAGCATGTCCACAAAAATGTTTTTATCCAGAGAAAAGGTTTTGAATACAGAGGAAAGAAAAGGTATTCTGACAATAGAGATGCCTCATGACTAGAAAACAATTTTCTAAGTTAAACAGAAAAGCTCATTTAACATCTCATCATATGTCCACAAAAGAGGTCTTCTGTTCACAGAAGATGTCTTCTGTCCACAGAAGAGGTCTTCTGTCCACAGAAGTGGTCTTCTGTCCACAGAAGAGGTCTTCTGTCAACGGGGGAGATCTTCTGTCCACAGAAGAGCTCTTCTATCCACAAGAGAGGTCTTCTGTCAACGGAAGAGGTCACAATTTATACATGTTTAGAAAGCTCGCCCTTAATTTTTCTTATAACATATTCTGATTTAGTATTTTAAAATAAAAACGATCTGAGACTCACCTCTAGGCTGTGTATCTATGCTGTAAAGAAAGTGGTGAGCATTGGAGTCTAATCCATTAAAATGAAGTAGAGTCTGCTCCGTCAAGATGAAATGTTTTAATTCAAATGTAGACTTGTTACCATTAAACACTGCCTTCACCATTTAATTACTGCATTATCCAGAGTTAAAACATATGTCGGTAATGCAGTACTTCTAAACCATATGTGACACATTTAAAGCATACTTTTAGGGTGGTGTGAATAATCGTTATAATTTAATTACACAGTTTTTTACACAAGAATAATTTTTATTTTTATTATTTTGGCTGGAAATATTTATAATATTTGTTGTACTTAACACCTTTTGCATCCTTAAAAACAATATCCAAAATTTTTACTACCAAATTTAACTTAAAATTTAATCAATCTCCTTTGTAGAAAGCCCCCTTTTCTTTTGATGATTGATTTCCAAAAGAAATAAAAAAAATTAAATTTTAGATCCCTGAGTAGAAATCGGCACAATGGTTCACATTTGAATGATCTCCCCAAATAACAGTATCATCTGAATTTACATCTTTTTCAATTCACAAATTTAGTAAGCAATCTACTGGGATTATTCCTATGATGAAACTATCGAAATAGTTCTGTCTACTAAATGCAAAAAGTACAACCGAAGTACATATTTTTAATATGTATCACCTATGAGAACCTTAAACTAAACTGAAATTGAACCAGCTAGATAGTCCAAGTCGGTGTTCCGTTAGATGTATACCATTAGCTTTTAACCATTTGTTTAGGTGTGCACTTATTTGGGAGTTATTTTTAGAAGGTTCGTGATGTATTAAACAATATACAAAAATTGGAGAACATTTTCGAGGTCTTGGAAAAGTATATCTGCTGTGGTCCAAAGAATAACAAAAATTTTGTCCATTCCTTTGTCCAAGGTCTTATGATTGAACCCCTTGGGATTTCTTCCATCGGTGTCAACGACAACACAGCTTTCATGTAACCCCTTAAGGTAAAATTTCTCATAAAAAGGGGTATGTATGGGTCCTTGTAGTAGGCGTTGGGGTAGATAACCATATCGATGAAGAAACTTCCTTAAGCATTCTTTAAGTAGAAAATATACCACATGTCTTATTGCTATCCGATTTAAATGTAAAATTAAAATAACCAACATATTTTTGAATAAGTTTAATACTCACCTGAACTAAATATCTTGCAAGGATGGGCACATCTTCGGAATGGACTCAAGAGGACTCAGTTACTTAATCTTCACGTGTCCAAATCATAACATTCTTTACGAATTGCGCTCGTTATATGTTAAAAAACATCATGATACCATGAAAAGCATACACAAACATGTTCCTTTATGAAATCACAAATTGAATCAATCAAACACACGAAAACTTTCGATTATATTGACGGACTTATCACAAAATATATTACTTTAAAGCAGTTTCTCAACGCAATTCAATTCATATAAAAATAATTAAGTTTAACACAGCACATATGTTTAAAGTTTTACAAATGAATTTATTTGTGGAAAAATTTTCTGCACTTGCAATTTGTATAATTCGGTAATTAACGGTATTCGAAATGGCAATTCTGTCGGAAAACTGACAATTCACATTCGAACATTCAGTATCAATTCTGTGTGTTGACAATAATTGTCAAAATGTCTCTCATGGGAGGGAATAAAAACCCCAAGGCGTTAGCTAACATACTTTTGACGGCGTTATGGTGATATGAATCAAGTAATACGTAAAATTTAACGGAAATTGCTTGTCGGCTGGCAAAAAAGTATTTACATTATTTTAAATATATTTTTTTATATATTAAAAAAAAACATTTTTTAATTATTTTGATTTCCTCTTTTTGCAGACATCAACACGAAATGAATTTACGAAATATTTGGAAAAAGCAACAATTTACAACAATCTACGAGAAGAGAATATTGAAGCTGTTAAGCGTGGCGAACGTGTCAACATTGACTGGCGCATAAACCTTCAATTGATCATACAGAAACATTTCGAAAAGGACAAAGAGTTTAAATTTGCTCTGGGTAAAGAGAATTTCCTCGATGAACAAATATCAATGCTAATGCCCAGCAATAGCCCGTATCTGATATTGTTGAACGAACAAATTACACGACTTAATCAAATGGGTTTCATCGAGAGATGGCATCAAACGAATTTGCCATCAATGGACAAGTGTAATGGACGTGGTGTAATGCGTCAAATAACAAACCATAAAGTCAATTTGGATGATATGCAAGGATGTTTTTTGGTTTTACTTTTAGGTAAATTTACTAATATATTTAAAAAAAATTATGACGTGTTTTCTTAAAGCAATCATTTCCAATTCGAAAGAAAGTCTGTTTTATCACTTTTATACCCTCAGCTTTTTACATACAGATGGAATTTATTATTTGATGCGACCAAAATATGCCTTATCGAAACAACGTTTTTAGACCCTGTGTGTCTGATTAAGAGCAAAATTGCTCTTGAAGAGAGTATTGGATTTCGGGGAGTTGACCCAAAAAATCACTTTACTATGTAAAATATATATAAAAAATGATTTCGGAGCTGTATGCCATATAAAATTGGAACATTGGCACGTTAATATTTATAATAGACTTAGGTCAGACAATGGCAGAAGAATACAAGTAGATGCATCAACGCTTGGGAACATTGTAACGTCAACATTTTTGAATGTTTTTTCAAATATAAGTAGATTTTTATAAGTTTTTTATACAACGGCAGTCGAAGGTTATTATAATATGTGTTTTTCAACATTTTTAACAAATTTGAATAATTTTACGTGTCGATGCGTCTACCTATATTCTTCTGCCATGGGTCAGACCAACTGTTCCTCTTTTTTTTTCTTAAACACCTTAATTAAGCGATTACATACGATACAATTTATTACGATATGATAAATATGGACTACTTTGGGTTCTCCAGTTCGATTTTTCTATGGTAATTTTAAGAAGGTAAAGTCATGCAATCATATATTTACAATTTTTTTCAAAATTATCCATTTGCACTAAAATTTGACAAGGTTAATTTAAGTAAATGCTGAGATGGGTATGCTTATTTGAAATGACTTTACCTTCCTAATTTTACCATGGGTTTTCCTTAATATTTTTTTCTTCTAATTTTAGCCATATATGGAAACGTTACATTTTTTAGTACATCTTTTATCCTTTATTTTTCGTAGCTTGTACGTGATTTAAGATTTTAATTGAATTCATATTTTTATTTTCAAACTAAAATGTATGGTTGTTTCGAGACTGAGTTCTATGTTTATATTATATTATATTATGGTTTCTAAATTCCAAAATATAACCGTTGTAATTGTAGAAACAATATTTATTTATTTTTTTATTTTATTTTGGGAATTAAATATTTGAAAAATGCGATAATTTTGGATCTAAATTGATCATTTTCCATACAAAACATGCTACGAAATCAGTAGAGAAAGACTATATATGAAAGACTATAGATGATATTTAGTGAACATGCCCGCTTTCTGTCAAAATTATTCAAAATAAGATGCAACAAACTATTCTCATATCTTAAATTTGTCCTCAGTTAAAAAGTCATATTTTCCAAACAAATTTGCAGTACTTGCAGCTAGACTGAATTCGGTTGAAAAACATTTCATTTGAAAATTGAAATCGGACGGAGAAATGGGAACTATATCTAAATTTGGATCGATTCTCACCAATTTCAATAGGTTTCGTCCTTGGGCCAAGCAAATGATTTGTGGAAAATTTCATCTCAATAGAACAATAAATGCCACCTGTTTACAAAATACATGGACAGACGGATGAATTGGTTTATTTCGTTTCCTTCTCTTTCATGTTACAATCAAATGCACAAAAAAATTATACCCTGTATCACAGCTTGGCGTGGGGTATAACAAATGTAGTAAAAAACAGCAGAACTTTTAATTCCATCCCTAATGAAAAAAAAAAACCTTTAAAAATAAAAGTATCGACACTTAATATTCGAAGGAGTTCCATTTTAAGCTGTAAGTTTCAGTATCGGTCGGAGAATGTTTCATAATATCATAATGTAGGCGGTACCATTATATTAGTGTTATACCATACCGTGAATCTGCCTACTGTGGGTGTAGTTATCTGTTGTGAGTTACAGATACAAATTTTGAAACAATACCGTGGAAAACTTAAAATATCGATAGGTACCGATATATGTGGGCTTTTAAAAAGTGTGCCACCATACGTAAAAAAACGAACTAAAAATGAAAATAATAAGTAAAGAAAGTGGCTGAAATTGTCAAAATATGGAATATCCCAAGGTACCATAATGTGGGGTTTATAGGCAAACGAGTTCCATATGAGGGATACCATATGAGATCGACCACATTATAAACTATAAATACCAGATTTGCAACAATACCGTTGGGAAGTGTAGCTAATATCAGAATATTGAAAAACGAGGACCTATGTAGACAGTTGTCAGGTACTACAGTTTGTATATATTGCGAACATCAAATACTACATTTGAAAACCTTCGTCGACAAAATTAAATATCTATAGGTACCATTATATAGGAACTTTAGAAAAACGTAGCCCAATATGGAGACCATGCTTACCTATAGAAAATATAATCTACTACGATCTTTAAGTGCCGAATTTTAGACAATTCCTATACTTAATGTGTCCATAATACCTATTCAAGAAGGCATCGTTATACATTCTATCTAAACAATATCCTGCACCTAGTAGGGAGAACCCATTACGATCTCTAAAAATTAAAATTCTAACAAAACAATTAGAAATCGTAGCTTAAATGGATAAAGTACAGAATATCAGGAGATAATTGGCGCTATAGAATAAGTGGTGCGATATAGCTCATTTTCTATACATAGACACAAAGCAAGTTATTATAGCAAATGTAAAAAAAATGGACGCCAAATAAAATTGACTGTATCCACTTTATGGGGTCACTTTGGAGATATTACAAGCAGAACAAACAACACTTATATGGGAGAGGACCCAAAAACAAACTTATCCGCCAAATTGTGGATCCTTGTTTTTTCGGATAGAATGAGAGGTCGATATGTCAAATAATAGCCTGTTCGGTAGGAAAATTCGAATAAAATAGCTCAAATAACCTCCGGCTTACTTCTGCTGAAAGTCTATGTCAATCCAAACAAAGTTGAAATGTATGAGCGTTGAGAGAATGTTCAACGATTGAAGACTAATAAATTGTTCATGTGATTAAAAATCTGTTGTATTTGGATCAAATAAATACTTCTAAGTACTTGGCAAAGTAACCAATTGCAAAATAGGCATCTCTGTCCAAAAGTCTTCCTAAAATGTCTGCTGGCTGCAACCATATTGTTTTGATATGTCCAAAAAAATGGTTTCTCTTAAATCACGTCGTTTATATACCCCAGTCAAGTATGGAAAATGTACTTGTCTGAACAATATATCAAATACATAATTAAAAACATAAAATATCGTGAAACTTGAATGTTGTTTCGAGCAAGGTTGATAAACATGAGGACATAATTCAATGTTTAAACACGACAAACTTGAACACTAATATATTGTTTTAACTCTTGGATTGTCTTTGAATGAAATAATTGCACCTAAATAATTGGCAAAACAATTCCAAAAAAAAAAAAAAAAATGCATCTATACTTTGACTTAAAAACTTTCTTAAATATCTATTGTTCACCATTGGTTTAACAGCGATTGTATATCGCTGCCAGGTATGGAGGCCTATACTCGGCTGAACGAGATATAAAAATCGTATCACTGTGAAATAACGTTTTGTAACTTTCATTTAGTTTTTTGATAAAATCCCAGTCTACCTTTGTAGTGAGTAACGTTATACACTACTATCCCAACGTTATACACTACCATCCCATGTTGATATCAGTGACAAAAAGTTCTTGATTCACACCTTCCATGACGTGACATCATTTTCACATTACATTCCCCTCGACAATTTCAATTGCACTTCATGTTATTTGTATATTAAATCTAAGGCACTAAAGCATTTCACTTATATTAATAACTTTTATCATTTCAATTTCATTTATGTTTACACTGATGTAATTGTTTTCCCTATTCTTCATTTTCAGGGTCCCTTGGTGCCCTCTTCGTAATGCTTCTGGAATTTTTACATCGACGTTGGCAACTAAAATATGCTGATAAAACAAAGCAAACAATTTTCTCAAATTAGCTTTATGATTATTAAATAAAATCATGACCACTGCTACCAAAATTGGTATTTGGAAATAACAAAACATGTGTGTTGTTGTTGGTTTTTGTGTTTCACTTTTTATATGGAAATTACTAAAATCAACATTTTGGGAGTTGTGTATAGATATTAAAAACTACTATAGCACTGCGCTTAGCTTAAGCAGAGTTAGCGTTGGGGCCACGACGACGTCCGAAACCGGAGACGGTGTTGACGAAACGACGGTTGTATTGGATGCGTCTCTTAGCACGGCCGGTCTTCTTCTTTTTCTTCTCTTGCTTTTCTACCTTGGGGGTTTGACCCTTAACTTTACCGGCACGAGCCAAAGAACCGTGCACTTTACCACCCAACATGGGGATGGTGATATCCAATTCAAAAGAGGACAAAGCAGACACGGGGGTTTCGTTGGCCAAGGCATTGCCTTCACAGTTCAGGACGATTTCCTCAGTGTTGTAGCCATGGAGCTGGGCAATATGAGCCTAAAAAGCAAAAAAAAAAATAAATTAAAATTATTGTGAAATTGGCTTTTATTAAACAAGAGCTCGAAAAAAGTGAGGTTATAACAATAAACAGACAGCAGGCATCTGCGGCCACAATTGTGCTGTAAATGTCTCACTAAATTTTCGCTTCCACATACACACAAGACACTACATGCTTACCTTAACAGCGGCAATGGTGACATCTTGTTGGACATCAAGAGTCTCAACGTTTTCCAAACCACGTACAAACAATTGCATGTTGTTGATGTGTTCTGAAATGGACACGACAAAAAATAAGATAATTTAGCAACTGATTTTAAATGACGTTAAACGACAGCAGCAGCAGCTCGCCCTTTCTTCGTCAAACACGTGTGTGATTCACAATTCCCCACATTTTCTTAGTTTGCAAACGTTCAATTTTTACAATTTCAATCAACGACAATTAGCGTTGCTTTATTTTTCACATTTCATTGCTATATTTAATAAAATTTTGCATATTTTCATGAAAATTTAATAAAAATCATTTTATTTTACCTTGTCACTTGCGTGAGGATTTTTCGAAAAGAAAGAAAAATGGCTACCCACCACTTCCACCCATTTGACATTTAGCCGAAAGACAGAGTTGTATTTATCTTAAAAGTTAGATATGGCAATGCTGACCGTGTTCGAAAAATATAAACATATTTGAAAAGTATTCTAGTTGGAAAATGAAAAGAGTTGATGGAAATTGTTGTAAAAATGTTGTTTTGTGTTTATTTTGTGTCCCTAAGAATACATTGTGCGAGAGATAATTGAAATAGCAGCCGAACCAAAAAAATTAATAACAATGAATCTATAAAATATTCTGGTTTGCCTATTTGACAATGCAAGAAATAAACGCTTATGAATTTGCGTTTTGAAAGACATTTGATTGGACAATAATATAATTTGGCCAGGATTGATTTACATATTTTATAGGTTAAAGCAAGCAGGTAAGTGTCCAAGATTGAGTAAATCTTCTTTTACACGAACTTTCTTGACGACTTTCCCATTTTTGTACGGAGGTCAGCGAAAGAAGTAAATCATCAGTTTTATGTGTGGCAAAGTTGCATTGTGGGTCAGGATCTCCATAGCATCACATTCTGATCCATCAAATTTGGAAGAAATCGATTCAGAGTAGGATATAGCTCGCATATATTGGTTCCAAATATCATAGTTGGTATTTATTATTATTATTATCTGTATGTCTGTCTGTCTAATCCTCGAAGGGATTATTCGATTTGCTCCACACTTGATACATTGTAATATTTTTATCAAACTTTGATCGAGTTCGGAGATGGGCGATAACGGACCACTTCTTTGGTACCTCCCCCACGAAAGGTTTATATTTTCATAGAAAGTAATTGCCCTAATAGAACAAGAAAGGACTAGATAAGGTGCTAAAATGAACAATATCGGCCCACTCCATTGGGTAAACGGTTTCACGTATATTTCTAGGCTATATTTGAAGACATATATGACGTTTTCGCTTGACCAGACGTACTTAGAATTTTGATGCACTATTTATTTAATATCGGAGGGCAACATATAAGGGAGCTATATGCAAATTTGGTCCGATTTTCCATTTTTATGGCATAGTGCTTGGACTTGTACAATTAATTAGTCGGACAATAAATGCCACTTCTAATCAAATTTTAATGTACATTATCCCTGTATGCATTGCAGCGTGTATGAATCTGCTCTGTAACTAGGGTATCAACATTCCTAAGACATTTACGTCCAGATTTATCTTGTATGGACATCTCAATAACACCCACACATTTGGTTGGGTTGTATATGCAGAGCGTTCTTTAGGGTAGGCATGTTAACTTGCAGATTGACGTTTTGTGTTATTCTTCGTCTCACGAATATGCGAATAGAATTTGTGATAGATTTATTGGTCTGTAGTCCTTTGCTATTTCGTGGACACGTTTCATCATTACCTTGGGCTAAACTTACTTCGATCTTTTATAGCATTTTTGGAAGTTTCGAAGAGCATGTAACTGTTTGAGATCAGATTAGCTAACTTGCCGGTTGTTGCTGTTCTCACTTCTGTGACCATAACCGTGAAATCTCAAAAGAATGTCTTTTAGAGGCTGTAAAAATAATTGATAAAATTTTCGGATTTAGACCAGATTGGCTTACTTGGTTAAGTATTTTTATCTTGCTGGGTTGTCTTTGTTCTCACTTCTGTGTCCATATTCCTGAAATCTTAAAAGTGTGTCTTCCGAAGGCTAATAAAATATTGGAGAATTCTTTGTGTATAAAGTGTACAGGGTGAGTTAAAAAACTGCAACAAAGTCAAAGTGCGAAGTCAGAGTGCGATGGTGCTGAGTCCTGTAGGAATGTCCAAGGTCTGCGACCAAAATGTGTGCGTGCCCAAGGCTTTTATACACCCACCAGAATATTCTCGCGATAATATTCGGCATTTATTCTGATTCCACGGTCAATTAATACGAGCGGAGAGAGACCATCGGCTGTTATGGCGGCCCACAACATCACCATGGCCGGCGCTTGAATTCTGGTGGTCAACTGAAGGTGCACATTTTCTGCTGACCTCTTTGGCAAGTAAACACTATCATTTTGTTTGTTTATAAACTGCTGGACAACGAATGTTTTCTCATCGGAGAAAACCAAATTCGGCAGTTCACCAGCTCTTTTGAGTCTATTTTCTTTCTGTTGCGGTATAAGTTCTTGCACTTTTTGGAATTTCAATGGTTTTACCTCGAGCTCATTTTTCAATATTTGCCGAATGGAATATTGTGATATGTTCAGCTCACTAGCCATTCTTCGGCCACTGCGACGCGGGTTTCGATCAAGTCGCTCCTTTACTTTTCGAACCATTTCTGCTTTTCTTCCGTCCACTTACTTGATGTCGGGCTACGCTACTAGAATCACGGTAACGAGCAATGGTACGGGACATAAAAGATTTATTCAAATTTAAATGCTGGAATGCTCTAAAGATAGCCAATTGTGGTTTTTTCTTGTGTATCCCATAAATATCGATACATTTTGTATTTGCCATTTCAAAGGTTTTAGCTTCAGTATTCATCTGAATTTACAGTATTTGTCAATTTGAGTTCTCATTGAATGAATGTGCTTCAACATTTGGTCTGTTCGAGAACTGCAAGAATGTAAAATTTTATACTACGATAACCAAATTCCTCTTTATAATATCGAATTACAACACTATTAGATTTTTGCAGGTTCTGGAAAAGAGAAAACATTTCACATTTTTCACATAAACACCTATATAGATTTTAAGTGTTTTGAAGGTTCCGGCCACAACTTTCAATCGAATTGACAGCAATTTGATATTTTGAAATTTTAATAGACAGGAAACATCCTCGAAATAATTATACAAATATGAATGTTCAGGTTTTAGAATTGTCCCCTATAAACCACTCCCCCTAATTATTAGAACTTTGGGGTTCTAGTCAAATTTGTCGTCTGAACAATAACCATTTAGATTTAGGGTTCATTAACGGTATAAAACACGTTTGTGTTTAAAAGTGTTTAACATGGCAAATTAAGCGCCTTTAGAATTCCAAATTAGTTTGCGTTCTAGGTATAAGTTATAGAGGAGTGCCGAGCCCTTTTTCAGATGATTTATTATTTGATATCATATTATATTCTGTGAAATGATTTGGATCTTACTTTCAATTTGTAAAAAAAACCAAAATAATAGGGATTATTATTGTTTTAATTTATCACTTTATTATTTAGATTTTAATTTCAATATTTCTTTGTTATTACCTTTGTTTCATTCAATTAATTTGTTGTTTGTTTATATAGAAAAAATTACAATTATATAAATACAAATAGCCGTGTGTTATTGTTTTCATTTCTTCGTATATATGTATGTCTGTCTATATGTATATAATTTTACTAAATATTAAATTTGTTTTTATATAATTATTATTTTAATTTAATATTAGTGTTTATAAATATATTAGGCATACACACTTAAAAATAAATTCATTGCTATTTACAAATGACTTATGAAATAATTATTTATAAAAAATATCAACTTAATAAAATATTACTTAAATTATTTTAACGTTTATAATTTGTAATTTATATATGTATATGTGATAGATAGTTTACCAGAAAGAATAACAATAAAATAAAAGTGTTTGTCATTTAACTTAAGTTGTTAGGTCAAGGTTGTAGATTTTGCTGTAACATCCCATGCTTATCGCAAGATACTGATGGCAATACCTAGCCAACATTGTGGGTTGGCAATAATGTTACGTCAATGAAAGTAAATATCTTCCATTGGTCATCATTTGCCTTTAAATAAATATTTAAATATATATTAGGTTTTATAAAATAATCAATAAGAAAAATTGCCACAACATTCAATAGAAAAATCGGTTGAGAAAAATACATAAATAAAGAGAAGGAGTTATAAATAAAAATATAAATAGAAAAAATTGGTAGATTATTGCATGGCTCAGCCATGAAAGTTAAGCTTAGTGCTTTTTCATTACAATTTGTTTTTGATTTAGTAAAAAAATAATTGCAACAACTTGGAAGCAGTCTATCTGCACAAAGCCCAAGGTATTGCCAGCCATCATTAAAGCAGAGTTTTTGATGTCATGCATGGCCGGCCACCCTTCTGCCTTCAGTGTTTTATCGACTGTTTTCATTGTAACGGTGGCTTTTCAAGATTTTGTCGCAACGTGTCAAAATCTTTAAAGGTTAATGTACAAATTCATTGTTAATGTAATGTTGGGGTTCCACTATGACACTGGTATAGTGGGGTCCATTGACATTTTTAAAGGTTTCCGTAAAACTATTGGCAACTATGTGATGATGCTGCTGCTGTTGATGTTGTGCAGTTTGTGATTGTTGCTGAGATGTTGCATTGTGCTGTGGCACTTCCATGGGCGGAAGTGTTAAATGCGTTTGCTGCTGTTGGTGCTGCTGCTGTTGGTGCTGCTGCTGATGATGAAGGTGGTTCTGATGGTGGTGTTGATGTTGCGGAATCCCATCTAATTGCGTTAAATGTATGGTTCCTTGGTGATGTGGTGATGTTAAACCTGTCAGAGTGTTACTGTGAGGTAAATGATGTTGTTGCTGCTGCTGGTGTTGATTGTGTGAACTACTGTCCGAAAAATAGTTTAATTCAAAACTATGACTGAGATCACTGTAGGTGGTTTGTGGTGAGGTTCCATTTACAATTGAGGCATTATCCGTTGACAATTGACGTTCACTCTCGGAACTACTCGAACAACTATTCGAGTTAGCCGAAAATGGTCGTATCAAGGTGGATGCCGATACATCGACGGTGGCATCATAATAATAGTTATTGTTGTTGTTATTGTAATACAAACTTGAGGCAGCGGCGGTGGTATTGGTGGTGGTATCCGGATATTGATGTGCCATATCATGTTGACCCAATGAACTGCTCGAACTGACAATAGATTCATTGACGGGATACAGTGGTGTGTAGCTGAGACCCTCATGATGTCCAGCACCGGCCACATCCATGAGATCGTGCATATGTTGTGGATGCATATGTAACTGATGTTCATGATGGTGATGATGATGGTGGTGATGATGTTGTTGTTGCTGTTGCGTCTGAGGATCTTGTAAGGTATGTAAAGCTATTTCCGTGTGGCCATTGTGATGTGAATTTATATAGTTATTTGTGTTGTTGTTGCTGCTGCTATTGTTGACATTACTACTACTTGAACTTGAATTGGTATTTGTACTTAAGACAGGAGTCACAGCGGTTGGCAAATGACCCAATGACCCACCACCACCACCGCCACTGCCAGTGGCTTCGAAACAGGTTTCCATCTTCGGACTTGTACTGAGCACACTTGGCGTTAGGCTAGGCAAACTGGGTGTATGTCGTAGTAGACCATTTTTACTGTTGTTTCCATTGTTATTGTTAATGGTCGCCACAGGATGTGGTACATTGGCAACCGCGGCGGCATGACTGGCATGCAACGCCGGTGTGGGTATGGGTGCTGGCGTTGAGATCGGTTCACTTTTGATAACACCCGTTTGGATTTCATTGAGTACTAAGTCTTTGGCCTCTTGTTCACTGCAAAGAAAAAAGGGATTTTAAAAATTAGTTGGTTAGGATTTTCGAAATTTAAAATTTATTGTAACATATGAAAAATTAAATATAAAAATACCCCCAAAAAAATAATATTATTTTTAAGATTTTTTAGAAACTATAGATCTGTCTGGTTACTATCTTGTAGGAATTGTCGAGCAACTTCTTTCAGATAGAGTGAGGTTATTTTATTATATTTTACAAAAAAACTCTGGAAAGTAAAAATAAGAAATGCCTGCAAAAACAAAAAATTCCTAAGAACTAAAATGATAAATTAAGGCTATCTCTCATATGTTTATTATTATTTATTTATTTATTTTTTTTAATTATGCCTTTGACAAGATCTCATTGTGAAAATGTATATTTAAAACGTCATTCTATTCAATTAAAAATGAAAACGCAAATTAGAGAAAACGCAGAACTGAGAATACATGTTTGAAATGTTTTGTTCGTATTTTTAAAAATTTTCTAATAGATAATATTTCGAAATTTTGTATCATTTTTAAAAATTGTTGAAATATTTACCTTAAAACATAATTTACACTAACTATGCAAACTTGACGCGATGAACGACTATTGTGCACCAATGTGGCATAGGATTGTACCCAAATCCAGCCGCCACCTTTTGTTAGGAAACGATAATATTTCGTGGTAACTTGTCCTTTGTATAAAACTGTAAATAGAAAAAAAGACAATAACAATGGGTATGAGATTTATTTTTAACTGCAAATAAAAGTGCCATCAACAAGGACATGCACATGCAAACACACACACCCCATTTAGCAAAGGATTAAACGATTAAGGCCATTTATAGTTGAGGTCGTCATTGCATTGTTTTTCTTTCTTTTTTCTTGTTAAAATTTTTACAAAACCCAGCGCCAAAATGTAAACAACATGAATTAAATAAATAATGGAAGTTGATAAAAATAACAAAAATAAGCGGGCACACGTTCAAAAAATAACAAAAACCTCAAAACCATATTGAAAGAAGGATATAACTGTAAAGCATTTCAACTAACGGGTGGAGGTGTGTTGCAGCATTATGCGTGGCAACATGGTTTGGAATTCGAACTTACGTATTTGATGTGAAACACGCATGGGCAGTATATCCTGTACATGTATATACTGATACAGGGTCTTCTCAATGAGTTCTTGTGGTTCATAGCCGGTGAGCTGGGATACTCTGCAAGAGGAAGAAAAATAATATTTATTAAATTTAGATTTGCAGCTTATTAATTAAAAACAATAAAAATCCGAACGGAGCTTTAAATCAATTAGGAAAAAATAACAACCCTCATGGCAAACTGGTGACTAGAATGCTCTGCCGTCTATGCCTATGTTTTTATAAGGACAATATGTTCGGTATTTTGTTATTGTTGTTTTGAATTAACACGATAAGGGTAATTGTGCATCTCAATATCCTTCTTTTTTCTTTGTATTCTGCTTTCCTTCCGTCAGACTTTTTTTATTTATTTTATCCTCCTTTGTTTGGTAGAGACAATGAATATCATGAATGGATGAATACCAAGCAGTGGATGATGATGATGCTGACTGGCTGGCAGGCAGGCTGGCTGGCTGCCTTGCTTCGTCTTTAGCTGAATGAATGAAACAAATCAAAGTTGTAGACAACAATGACGACAATGCTTTTTAAGTGGCAAATGATTTGTTTGTTGTGTTTTGCTTTCTTCCTTTCTTTGCCAGGGACTGAATTCCCCCAGCTTGTAGGCTTTCTGCCATTCCATTTTGAGAATTTACTTTGAGTTCGAAAGTTGATTTTGATTTTTTTTCTTCTCATCTGAGGGAATGAATGGAATTTGTTTGTGTCAAGTGGGTGGTGGTCGTTTGTTGGAGTACTTTGCCTGATGGTGGTTGGGGAGATTATGGTATGAGTGTCTCTAATGGGGGTTGTTTGGTTGTTAGCGAAGAGAATGTGTCTGTGTGTATATAAATGAAGAAGGAGGAGTTGTAGCACCATTAAAATCGGGTGGAGTACAATGAGTGAGTCTTGTATCGGAAGCATTTTCTTGGGAAGGGGGGACGAATTTTTTTCTATGGGAAAAAATGGCTGACGTTGTCTCTTTTTAAAAGTGGTCTTAGCGAAAGTGTCAGTAATTTAATATTGAATTAATATTGAATTTCCATATTGGATGGAGGGAGAGATGGCTGACAGCAGCAAAAGAACATTGAGAGTTTAAAATTTATTGCCAAGGAAGTCTTCAATACATAGCGAATCCCCAGAGGGCTTTTTCTATAAAGATTTCTATAATTCTATAAAGAGATTTTTTTTTTTGGATAGAACACCATTTTGAAATCTGCTGGGGAATGGAATGCATTTTAGAGGCTTTCCACATATGGAGAATCTTATATACTTCTTCGGCAAATAGAAGAGCTTTTGGATAGAAGAGATTAAAGAAGAGTTCTTCCATATGTAAAATAGCTTTTAGATATCTCCTATACATACAATAGATTTAAAGATCTTCTGTAGATAGGAAATCTTTAGAGCTATTTCTAGAAAAATGAGGTTTTGGATCCCTTCTATACCTAGAAGATATTTAGAGATCTGCTTTGTTTACAATAAGTCATATATGCTATATTATCACTGGGAAGCTCTTCTATAGATATAAGATATAATTCTTCTCTTTAATTCTTCAATTGATAGTGTAATTGTAGCGGTTTTCTTAGATAAAGGATTTTAAGAGCTTCTTAAGAGAGCTTTTTTACAGCATTTACAGAAAAAAGTTTTCATATAGAACAGTCTTAGTTATATATAACAACGTCAAAGACAAAGGATCTTTAGACGTAGAGGTTTTCTTTGTATAAAGACCTTCTTTAGAGAAAGAAGCTTTAGAGCTTTTATACTGAAGCTTTTTAGATAAAAGAGCTTTAGAGCTCTTTAATTAATATAATAATTCTAGAGGTTTTCCGAGCTTTTAATCTCTTCTGTAGATAGAGTCTATGAGCTATTTTACCGAAATAAAAAAGTTTTTATATAGCGCCGTTTTAGATATAAGAGCGTTAAAGCTCTTTTGTAGACATAAGAGCTTTAGAGATTTAGAAGTGTTGTATTTGTATACAGATCTTTTCTATACAGAAAAGCTTTAGAGTTTTTCTATCTTTTTTAGATAAAAAAGTTTTTACCACTTTTTCATAGATATAAGAGCTTCATATTTTTCAGAATAACTTTAGAGCTTGCAGGTCGTCTATAGTTGAAAGTTATTCATAGAATATTTGAATATTATTTCAGTCTGTAGACTGAAAAGCTTCAAATTGAAGAGTTTGCAGAGCTTTTTTATATTGTAGAGATTTTTGAACACTTACCTAGCATCCAAAAATATCAGCTTCAAATCCATGTGTGCCCGAAACATAAACATATTTTGATGTAATTTAATTTCAGTTATCGCCGAGGTGGGTAACGAATGGCCAACAGCAACTAAGCCCAAATTTTGTATATAACCACCTTGGCCATCGCCATAATCGGGATATATGCGGGCTTTCAGATATCCAGAACAATGGATAACCTAGAAAAAAGCAAACAATAGTTAGTTAACCTTTCATTTCCAATGGAATTTCAATCGAAATACCTACCTTATAACCTGATGTGGTTAGGCCGGCATTACGTTTGGCCAAAACACATTTCATGCGCAGGAAAAATTGTTTTTCAATTTCAATGGTGTGACAGCCACGTTCGCCGGCATAGTTTGTTGTGCCATTGGGACTGCCAATTGTGGCGGGATTTGTCTGTGTCAAATGCAAAGGATTGATAAAGGCATCCTATGAGAATTTTATTGCAATAATATAAGAAAGTTCAAAGAGAGCAGAGAATAGAGAGAGAGAGAGGGAAAGCAAAGATTTCAATACTACTAAATAAAAAATACTATAAAAATTTCGTTGGAACTTACAAGATTTTGATGCATGTGCGGATGCAGGGACAATATCGCATTCATTTCATCCTGATCATAATTGTGTATGTATTCAAAAATAGAATTACCAGTCAATTCAACCTGCCAATAAAAAAAGAACAGACAATCAATAATTTTTTGTTGAAAAGAATCTGGAATATATTTTCTCTGAAGTAGTATGCAAATGCAGTAGAAACCAAAAAAATGTCTTAATTTTTTTTCCTTGGTTGCTCTTGCCTTGTCCTGGCCATTTTGTTGTGCATTTTTTTTGATTCTCAGCTAAATTTATGCACATAAATTTGCTTATGCTCGGAGTAGACAAGCACCACTTACCTGGCTTAAGCCCAAATGAACAGAGGCTGTTTCCGAAATGTACATAATTTTGCCATCGGGTGCCACTACAAAAATGAAACCATCCAGTGTTTGCAAAAGATGTGAACCCAATTCTTTAATGGTGGCACCTCTTTGTTGCATGGCAGGTGAAGAACCCCAAGCTTCTCCTAAGCCTAAAGAAAATAATGCGAGACAAAAAAAGGAAAAATATTAAAATTGGTTTTGTTATACAAAAATAAAAAATTAAAGGAAAAAGGGGAAGCAAAAAACAATACAAATTGTCTACTGGTAAAAGTTCTCAAACGGCTTGATGTCATCAAAATATTTTCAACAATTAAAGTCATTCACACAGCGGTGGGTGGTGGGAGCGGTATGCTATTGTTTTGCATATTATACAGTCGTTTCGTCAACACCACCACCTCCACCACCCATCAGGATTTTCTCATACCATTTATGTATGCAGCAAGGTGGGGAAGATGTTCTTGCTACAAGCAAGCAATGGCAAGAAATCTGGGAAGCCCTAAGTGGGAAACAACAGTTTTAATATGAAGTCAAACTGTGTGTGTGTGAGAGACCGCCTGCAGGCTTTCCAACCAGCCAGCCATATGTCTATGCCTAGCGACCTGCCAAGCTTTTTAAGGATGTATGTTTTACCTTCCTGTTGTTATGTATTCAAATAATTAGAATAACATGCCAGTTGAGCACCAAAAGGGGGTAACCGTCATCATTTGTTGAGGATGTATGACAAATTTCTTTGTCATATTTTTTTTCTTCCAACGCCATACAAAAGTCCTTCCGAATGTGCGGCGGGGATGTCAATGGTTGTAATGATGATGACGGCGAGGCTGTGGACAATGCTGATGGTTTCGCTATGGTTATTACCACCTTATTACACACCCTGTGAGAGAGATTTTCTTATTTCGTTTTCCTCCTAATTTATGAAAAGCGGCAAAAACAACAACACGACAAGTCAGCATTTTAACCCCGTTATTGTATGTGTGACCTCAAAAGAGGGCATATTCTCGAGAAGTGGGTGATTCGACGAAAATAAATGTTTGAGATTCCCTTGAATAACAAGCAATTGATAAAATTTATATATCCAGAATTGGACTTGGATATTTTTCGAAATTCTCGAATTTAAAAAAAAAAAAAAATTTTTACTTTGCAATGGCATAAAACTAATAGAGTTAGTGTGCCTGAAGAAACGTATTTTTCTAGAGAAATAGTTTTGGATAAATGATTTTCGGACAGAAGATGATTCGAATAAAACACTTTCGTATAGAAAATATTCCGGGTAAAACATTTTCCTGCAGAAAATCTTTCGGACAAAGATTTCCTATAAAAAAAATTAAAAAATTGTTTTTCTCTAGAAAATATACTGATGAAACATTGTTATTAACAAAAAACATTATCCTACAGAATATAATGCATTTTCCTTTATTTTAGAAATAAAATATTTTGCTGTAGAATATCTGTTGCATAAAATATTTGCCTGCAGAAAATCTTCAGATTTTCAAATAAAAGATATTCCTCCTTTAAAGAGCATATTATCATAAAAAGAATTTTTTGAGTAAAAATATTTTCAATAAAAAGTCTTTTGAAAAAACTTTTTCGTTTCGAAAATATATCGGCTAAAACAAAACATTTTTATAGAAAAATATGTAGGATAACCTATTTTTTATTCGGAAACTAGTTTAGATAAGATATTTTCCAAGAGAAAATAAAACTTTGGAGAAAAGAATTTCGTATAAAAATTAATCACAAAGGAACTTCAGATCCTAACCCCTGTTTTAAAATCGCTGGTAAAACAAAACTTCTTTCAATTGTATTCCTTCCTCCCATTGATCGCCGTGTATAATATTTGCTAAACATTCCAATTAGAACAAAAAGCCGATAACAAAAAAACATCATACAACATTTACGCCCAATTTCACACAATCTCACAGTTTATGAAAACGTATGTTTTTTGCGTGGCCCAAATTAAAAAAATATATTTTTTTTTTTTTTTTGCAATCAAGAAATGTCCTGCTGTGTATCAACAACACCACAAGCCGATAGGAAACACAACGTTAATGTTATGTGATCTACATCCGCTGTGGTATTTTAGACAAACCCCCTCCTTCCCCGCTCTCATGAAAAAACACCCCAGTTAACCTAAGCCCAGATTCTTGGTGGTAATCTTGTCCTTTGACATAGCCGCAGGACTTTTAGTGTACCACACAGTAGTGGACATGTGTGTGACTGACTCTGTGAGGTGGATAACGACGAAGAAAAAAAACAGGAGGACACGAGTTTAGTCGCGTGTCATGAAATCATTCACGAAAACAAAACTCTAATTGTTATGGAATTATGGATAAATATTCGATGATGTTCATTATTTGATTTGTTTCGTCGTGACCGTAAGAGATTAATGAGTAGCGATTTTTGGATTGTGCGAACTTACCTTCGGGAAAAACTTGACGCATTTTCAAATAGGAGGTGGTCAAGCGTATTATGGAGGCTTTGTCCAATTGTGATGTAATTGCACTTGGTAACGGTAATAATTTGGCCAATTCGAAAAATTCTGCATTTTCCTTTTCACGCCGGGTGCGGGCAGCATTTTTACTTTTTTCCTTCATGGCACAGGTTTTGGCTAAACCTAAAACAAATATCGAAGAGAAAATGATTATGGGGTTAGATTTTTATAGGGAAAATATATTTTTTTAGTTCTAATAAAAATGCGGATAAAACATTTTCGCATAGAAAATATTTCGGATAAATTATTTTCGCATAGAAAATATTTCGGATAAACTATTTTCGCATAGAAAATATTTCGGATAAAACATATTCGTATAGAAAATGTTTCGGATTAAACATTTTCTTAAAGAAAATGTTTCGGATAAATAATTTTCAGAGAGAAAATCTTGCGGGTAAAACATTTTCTTATAGAAAATGTTTCGGATAAAACATTTTCGTACAGAAAATGTTTCGGATAAAACAATTTCATTAGAAAATATTTTAGATAAAACATGTTCGTATAGAAAATGTTTCGTATAAAACATGTTCGTATAGAAAATGTTTCGTATAAAACATGTTCGTATAGAAAATGTTTCGTATAAAACATGTTCGTATAGAAAATGTTTCGTATAAAACATGTTCGTATAGAAAATGTTTCGTATAAAACATGTTCGTATAGAAAATGTTTCGTATAAAACATGTTCGTATAGAAAATGTTTCGTATAAAACATGTTCGTATAGAAAATGTTTCGTATAAAACATGTTCGTATAGAAAATGTTTCGTATAAAACATGTTCGTATAGAAAATGTTTCGTATAAAACATGTTCGTATAGAAAATGTTTCGTATAAAACATGTTCGTATAGAAAATGTTTCGTATAAAACATGTTCGTATAGAAAATGTTTCGTATAAAACATGTTCGTATAGAAAATGTTTCGTATAAAACATGTTCGTATAGAAAATGTTTCGTATAAAACATGTTCGTATAGAAAATGTTTCGTATAAAACATGTTCGTATAGAAAATGTTTCGTATAAAACATGTTCGTATAGAAAATGTTTCGTATAAAACATGTTCGTATAGAAAATGTTTCGTATAAAACATGTTCGTATAGAAAATGTTTCGTATAAAACATGTTCGTATAGAAAATGTTTCGTATAAAACATGTTCGTATAGAAAATGTTTCGTATAAAACATGTTCGTATAGAAAATGTTTCGTATAAAACATGTTCGTATAGAAAATGTTTCGTATAAAACATGTTCGTATAGAAAATGTTTCGTATAAAACATGTTCGTATAGAAAATGTTTCGTATAAAACATGTTCGTATAGAAAATGTTTCGTATAAAACATGTTCGTATAGAAAATGTTTCGTATAAAACATGTTCGTATAGAAAATGTTTCGTATAAAACATGTTCGTATAGAAAATGTTTCGTATAAAACATTTTCGTATAGAAAATGTTTCGGATAAAACATTTTCGTATAGAAAATGTTTCGGATAAAACATTTTCGTATAGAAAATGTTTCGGATAAAACATTTTCGTATTGAAAATGTTTCGGATAAAACATTTTCGTATTGAAAATGTTTCGGATAAAACATTTTCGTACAGAAATTTTTCAGATAAAACATGTTCATATAGAAAATGTTTCGGATAAAATATTTTCTTACAGAAAAGGTTTCGGATGAAACATTTTCGTATAGAAAATTATGCGAATTAAAAAATTTGTTGATGAACATTTTTCTTTTAAACGTTTTTTTGGATAAGTCATTTTTTACAAAAAATTATAAAATTTTCTCAATGTGGAAAAAGTCTCTTTATTTTTGCCGACTACTCTTAGTCCTCTCAACCTTTACAAATTGATATTTACCCAATTTATCCTGATTGCAGTTACGCATTTCTCTGCGTTTGTACGTCATCTTTGTTTACTTATTTGCACTACACTTTGAAAATTTATTAATGAGCAACGAATTTTCCAAAATTTACACAAGGATTGTGAAAATTTCGTTTTTCGTAAATCCTTAAAGAACGTGATCTTTACTCAATGATCACCTGTCTGAGACTGATGTTAAACACGTACGTCACATTAGTTTTAAAATCTTACGAACTTCCTCTTTTTGCACCGTTACACATCTTCGGTGTGTTTGGTTTTCTCCCTCTCTTTCGCCATTGCCAATGCGGCAACTACAACTTCCTTCCTATCCCATCCTGTTTGCGTTTCCTTAAAACAACAATAAATGTGCGAAATTTTTCACATACCTGTTAAATTTTGGTTAAATGTCGCTTTCATGCCATTGGCCCGTATGGTGGTGCAGTTTTTGTTTTTTTGGTAACAAGTATGGCTGTTTCCCCTATTTGCTCAGTGCAATGTTACCTGTATCTTCCATACATACATACTTGCTGTCACCATATTGATCTTCCACCAAAATCTTTGCATTGACTACCTGAATTTTTGGAATGTTTGACAACACCATTTGACTTTTGCTCAATCTAATTTTGTAATCTCATCTTTTCTATTTGACAAATTCCATTCTTTGAGAGTCTAAAGAGAGTTTTCATTCATGTATTCCTTGACTTTTGTTTGTGTGTACATAATAATGGCGTTGTTGTTGTTGACTTGACTAAGGCCAGACCAATATTGTAGGTTCTTCCTATTAGAGAGGCGTATTGTTGTTGTCCCAAAATTAAATCGTCACAGGTGGTGGTGGTGGTGATTTTACTGACCAACAAGTTATTGTTACTGCACACGTTTACTAACCACAGGAGATTAACTTTAAAGGACAATAGCCATTGTACCAAATTCATATGTACATACATATGTATTAGGAGTATGTATGACCAACCGATTGGATTATGTATTTAAAAAGGAAGTAAGGCGGAAGTACGGAAAGGAAGTATTTAAATTTCAGGGAAAAATCACACATCCTACTGGGGAATTTATTATCCTTATTGATTTTTTGTTCGTATTTTTCTGTTTCGGCATTTAGCCCACATACGTACAATTTTTTACATAGCTACATAGTATATAGATTGCTGCAAGTATTGTTACTTTCATAGCTAGCTATTGATTTCTTCGTTACTGTTCTTTGGTTTTTCTACTTCATTTGGGGAATTTTTTTTTTTCATAAAACAAGCAACAAGTCTTCTTAGTTTCATTGATAAAAATAGTTCGTACGTGATTTTAGTAAAATTTGCACGATGATATATGTGCATGTATGTATACTTATGCTTGTATAGGGTTATATATATGTATATGTGTATATGGCACTTGCTGCAATGGATTTTGTCTCAGCTCTAAATACACCAGTGTATAGTATAAAGCGCAATGGGTGGAGAATGGAATTCCACAATATAGCAACAAATTGTTATACGTAATCTTTGTTCCACTTAAATCGCTTATACTCAGCAGTAGTAGGTGATAGTTTAAATTCTTTAGATTTTTATACCCTCCACCAGAAGGCTAAAATTTTGCACACATGTTTATTTTTCCAGTATGCAGGTTAAGTTCGTATATGGGCCATGTAGGTCCACGTTTTCATATAGCCCCCATATAACGGTACCTCCCGATATTCGGTATTTTGATGATTTTAGCGACATTATTCACCGGAATTGTTCCAACTTTGGTATTTGAAGTTCGAAATGGATACTACAGCCTATGACAGAAAATTATCTGGGCAGGTCTTCGTATAGCCCCCATATAACGGTACCTCCCAAAATTCGGTATTTTTATGATTTTAGGGACGTTTTCACTGTTTCAAATTTGGTATTTGAGATTTGTAATGGATGCTACAGCCTATGACAGAAAATTGTCTGTGCAGGTCCACGTCTTCGTATAGCCCCCATATAACGGTACCTCCAAAAATTCGGTATTTTGATGATTTTAGCGTTATTATTCGCCGGAATTGTTTCAAATTACGTATTTAGAGTTCGTAATGGGAACTACAGTCTGTGACGTTAGTAATGGATGCTATAGCCTGTGACAGAAAATTGTCTATGCTGGTCCAGGTCTTCGCACAGCTCCGATGTAATGGTATCTACCTACATACGATGTTTTGATGATTTTAGCTACATTATGCACCGTTTATTTCAAGTTTCGAATTTGAATATGGTAATGGAGAAACTCTTCATATTCAGGCAAAAACTACTAAATAAACGCTTTGGAATGCATAGCTGTAGCTAGTCCGACTACATTTACCTTTTTTGAAATATTTCCACTTGCAACTAAAATAATTGTACTCAATCACGAGTAGATGAGAAGTTATTGAAATCGTCACTCGGAAAAACTTAAGAATTATTATTGAAAGCCTAATCATCCTCAACGAGTGATTGTATGCTGAGCCTGAATGTATTGCGCTATCGGAAGATGATTAATAACACTGTTCTGTAAAATTCAATTTCTTTCAATGATTACAGGGAAAATCCGCGAGATTATGATAGAAGTGCTAAAAATAGAAATATATATTGCGATAGAAGTAACCTCAAGCGGGGCCGTTTTGGTCCCTTTTAAAAAAAAATATGGTCAACAACTTTCTTTAAATGTCATAAAATGCTACCATCATGGATCTTAAAAGTGATCGGTCTTTTTCGAGTTAACACCAGAAAGTAACATACAATTTCATTTAGGCAGAGGTCGAAATATTTTACTAAAAATTTCACTGTAAAGCTCAGAATATACCTTTACAGGGTGAGATAAAAAACTACAACAAAGTCAAACGCCATTATTTTTACATTTTTTTTAATTTTATTGAATGAAAACAAAAAAGTCGGAAATAGCATCAAATTTTAGAATAAGTTTAGATTTTTTGGAATTGGTCACTTTTGGCCAATGAAACCTTCACACGCTTCCCGAATATTGCTCCGCGGTATTTTGGCCCATTCCCGGCGAAGCGCTTGCTTGAGGTGATCGACACTTTGGTATTTTTTAATGTCAACCTTGCTTTCCAAAATACTCCAGACACAATAGTCCAACGGACCATTGTGTGCTGGAAATGAAGCGAGGAACCTAATTTTTAACCGTTCTCTTGGAATGTCCAAGATTTGCTGCAAAAATGTTTTCGTGCCCAAGGCTTTAATACACCCTGCAGAATATTTTCGCGATAATATTCGGCATTTATTTTGATGCCACAAACGATTAATACGAGCGG